AATAAGTACGTTTTTGGGGCAACACTTTTTGCCCAGCCTTTACATGAAAAGTATTGATTCTTGGTAATTATTTGGTTTTTTGGTAAAAACCCATATTTCATTGACATGCGTTTTAATCGAGACCTTTGTCGTGGCTTTTGTCAGGAGCTTCAAGAGTACAATACGATTGGAAACGCTCAAATTCTTCTGAATTCGCATATCATATCAACAGTGCCTACCGTTTTACGCAGTTTACAGGCCCGAGTTTGCCCACGATGCGCTATATACACAGCTAGATTCTCGAACTCGCTAAGAGATCAGTAAATTGTCAGTACATTATATTACATATCAAGTAATATGATAATTCGGAATTCAATTAGTATGTAAATTTAAGACGCTACATCAAATCGGAGATCGAGTATTTGGTCAGTACCTCGATCACTGATCTAGTAATAAGTACTATTCAGTTTCTAATGGGTTATTTCCATTTTACCTCAACTGCTGAACAATTAACGTACTACTGATACTAAGGTTTATTACCTAGTCAATAATGGGTGATTATAACCAATCAAATGAGCGTGTACAACTTGATTGGTTAAAATGTATTTCGCCGAAAATGCTTCCTACAAATTCCGATCACAAGTCAATAATTCTGCCCTACCCTTGTGAAAGCACTTGAAATTGGCTATCAGAATGTGTGTCCATCTTTGTTCTAGCACAAATAGCCGCTGAGTAATTCAAGAAGGAAAAAATCCAAATTTTGGCGGATCACTGATCGGTCACGTTAGTAGAGTTTCTTCGTTTTACTTGCTTCCAGACCCGCAGGGTTCTACTGTAGGGAGGGAATATTTCGCCTTTACGGCCATGGAGATGGAAATATTTCGCAACCTCGCCGCCATTTTCCCTACTACTACGCTACCGATCTCTGCGCATCGGCCGCAGCGGTCACGCATCTTGGACAAGCCAGTGTCCACCGTAGCATTGGAGGAGAGAGACCGGTTTCCACGGACAACGCAACATTGGCCATGGACCACCCGTATCGGCAGCTATATCGTCGGCTGGCGCCACTTTGTCCGACGACGAGACTTAATTCGCGATGTGAGCCGCGGTCGCCGTTTCCAAACTCAAAATTGGGACATCAGATGGGACAAAATTTCCCCCACCGGATCTCCCCAAACCGGAAACTATGAGAAAAAGTTGAATAAATCTGGATACCGTTCAGCCAAGACTAAAAACCGTTCAAGCAAATTTTCTTCCCGTAACCCTGTAACCACGGGACTTGTCCTTCCCCCGCGCGCACATACTTCGAAGTATAATGCTAAATCCCCAGCCTTATCAGTGGTTAGTCATCGCTAACCACGGAGATACGCTTAACCCCTAGATTTATTGAACGTTTTTCGGGGTTCCTCAAACCCAAATTTGGGGTTCGGACAACCAAAATGTCTCCAATTTCACACTATTGGGACATCCCTATTTCTTGTCCCGATAACTGTATACTGAAGTTTGTATGGAAAAAGAAAGTCCGCCGAGGCAGTTTTCTCTAGTGTCGGGACGCAGGTTTGGTGGTGCGGATTTGTTGATAACGTTACATCTACAGTGTCGAAATGGTTGACACGATATCATATTACGTGGCAACGCAACAATTAGCCTGCACTCAATATGTACCAAGATCAGCTAATCATCAGCAGCACAACGGAATTGTGGCTCGAACAAATGATCAAGATCTTGTGAGTAGTAGTAGTGATTAAGCCGTTGAAAATTTGGCCCGAGCCTCTGTTCAGCACATGAGACAATGCCGATTATTACTTCCTGTTACTTCCCCCATTCTGGATAATAATTTACGAAGAATTCTCAGAGCCTCAAAATAACCAAAATTCAATCGAGTTAGGCTTTTCATGTAGCAATACATACGAAGACGTACTGTGAGTCGATTCTGGTGCACCGTATCATGTTGCCCTTCGTCGTATTTTTGTAACCTTCAATAAAAATACACCAATCGTATGCTTTTTGTAACCAAAATAATACTACGTACGGAGTAGTTCAAACAACAAAATCCAGTAAAAATGGTCAACAGCGACCAACGCCGCGACAACCACGACGCGACCCAAGTGGTCGTCGCGGTATGGACGCACAGCGGACGTTCGACTGTTCAAGTACATTCATGACAGCAAGCTTCACGACATAAGAACCTTAGATAAACCTCAAGAGTTTGACGAAATCCATCCAGTAGCAGTCTCGGGATACCTGCTGACTGCTTGCATGTGACCAGCTTTGTTGTGCATCATACACAACGATTACCCACCACACCTTCCGCACGCAATACGGAAGTGTATATGCTTACACGTAACTTGGGTTAAGGGAAATGACCACATCCAGTAGTGCTACCAGTATCGAAGAATGCGGCGGCGAGGTTGATCATGACTGGAAGCATGGCCATTCAGGCAGCCGCCGAACTTATTTCATGTCAGGTGAAATTTATCTTATTGTTTGTATGCTGTTTAATGAAAATAAATATTTCCTGTATCGTTTACCTCCATAAAAGAATAAATCTTTATTTTAAATACTTGTCTCAGTCCTGCACGAAATTGTGTCACTTGATTATTGTATGTCCAACCCTATAGATTCCGGATAATTTCCCCCACTGTCCAAGCCTCGCTACTAGTACAAGGTACTACTAGTGTTTCCCACATCTCACCGCAGATAAGAGAGTTTTGAAAATGCACACTACAAACACAAATGTATGAATACTATGCAAGGCTCAACTACGACGACAAATAAGTACTAGTAGCAACCTCAACTACTGTACAGTACTATAATAGTACACATCTTGCTCCAACCGACAATTAACCGGCGGCAGAGCAACGGGCTCACCTAGTTTATACATTAACTGTAAAGTTATAATTTTTTCATAAGATCGTCGAACCCATCCAATACCAGGCTGGATGGCAATGTACCCGAAGTTCGAAGCAACTTCGCCACAAGTTGTCCTCCACCCTGATCATTTTCATAATCATTTTCACGACGTACCCCACGCATGTTTGGGTTTCTTGTCGTATGGAGCGTCGTGGCGTTGTTCGTCTTCGGGCCGTCTTCCCATGAGGGACATGGGGAACAGGGTAGGCCGGACGGACCGCCCGATAGTGAAAGAAGCAGCGACGCGGATCAGCGATGGCCGTCTGCCCCAGACGTTCCCATCACGACGGTTGCCATGGACATCCCGTTGTTGAATGACACGATGGCACCACCTTCCAAGGTCAAGTTCAGTTTCCCCAAGTTCGTGGGCCAGCCAGCCAAGTTTCCGATCCCGACTGCACCGACGTGTGGCATCCGCAAGGCCAAGTCGGCCAAGGAAGTCGTGTACATGACCGTGGACGACGGACCGTCACCGTCGGGCCGGTTGAACCTGCTCAACGCGATGGACCAACTCAACAACAGCACGAGCAAGGAGGCGGCGTACGTGACGTTCATCGAGAGTGGGTACAACTTTTGCGGCCAAGAAACTGACGCGATTGTCAACTTGAAGTGCAACCCCGCCGCGTACGACACGGCTTTGCAGTTGCTCGTGTGGACAATCAAAGCCGGTCACATGATCGCAGCGCACTCGGACTCGCACTTTTACGACGCCAACGCGGGATTGTGCAACTACGTGACCATGTCCTTGGTGACTAAGGTCGAGGACAAGTACGCCAAATGCGGCAAAGATACGTGGTCTGACATGGTCCGCGGCGCGTTGCGCATCGACGACGCGCTGGCCAATGAAACGCTATGGGAGACGGACGCGGACCGAGCGGCGCACAAGCGGGCGGTGTCCACGTTGTGGTCATACGCGCGGTTGCCGTGCACGAACGTGTGGCGGCTGCCCGGTGTGACGTCCGTGACCGGACTGCGCAAGGAAGACCTCGGGCCCGAGCGAGACCTTCGCATGCTCACGGCGGAAAAGCTCTTTGGGGGGAAGCTTGAGTGCAAACCCGACACCAAGCCGTGGTTTGCCATGGGGTGGGACGCCGAGTGGCGCTTGGACGCCAAGGCAACGTACGATGCGCAGAAGGAAAAGTGCAAAGTCGCCCAAGACATTGTCAACCAGTTCGACAACAAGTGGAAGGCTGGGCCGAGGGGGGACCACGTCGTGCTGTTGACCCACGACTACTTTTTTGCCGACGTGGCGAAAGCGTCTATCTTTCGAGACGTGGTGGCCGAGCTGCAGCTGCTCGGGTATACCATTGGCACGTTGGACCAGTACCCCCTCAAGCAATAACACGTGAGAGATAGTGCAACCAGGAGTATTTAACACCAGTATTATTAGCTGGACAGGAGATAGTATAAGGTGGTTGGCCGAGAGATTTCACCGTTATTTCAACGATTCCCGTGTTTTGCCTGTGTTACTGTAGTACGTACTGGTACTATACGTATAGGTTGTACTGAGTACTACGTATACATGTACTACCATGGGTAGTAGTACTGTACTACGGACTGGTGGGTAGGAACTTCAATACAGTAATCATGGACACTATTATAGTACCCAAATACTAGTACTGTACATACTATAACTGGTAATACAAGTGTACTTGAAGTACTATTGTAACGTTAGGGCCTTTTGGGATGAAACCAGGGTCATACAAACTGTAATATAAATATGAAATTTTGAGAATAGCACTCGTTATGGTCAAATCTCTTGTCAACCTAGTGGTATACTAGTAATACTGTGTACTTCAGTAGTAACGTTAATACAATGTACTACGTAGTACATCGATATAACTGTTCGATATCTACCAATCAAAAGCTGTAGCCGATATAATTGCCGGAAATCAGATCAAGGTGGGTGTGACTATTAATACAAAGTGGTTGTTATTGTTCTGTTACGTCGCTGTGATAGGCTAAATGTCCTCAAGTATACACTATAATAATGTATACACTATAATAATGCACAGAGTAGTATATACTACACTGGAAACCATGAAACGAGGGCGACACATCCGTGTCAGATGCACAGGATTCGTCGTACATTGCATTCACGGGCGTTTAGATATGCAGGGTGTTGGCACAACTTGGAGCAGGGGCGGCCCATGCAGGCCACCTCTGCCACCGCCGTCGTGTACAGGGGGTGTGTGTAATTTTCTTGACCTCGATCCTGAACGAGTCAAAACTTCGTCGAAGTTCCGAAATAAAGACTTGAAATTCGGCCCGATCGACCTGGCATTAGGCGAATGAGCAGCTTGTCTGAAATGAAGTGATATGCATTCATTCAGTTATTGGCCACACGCAAGTACCGTAAGTTTCAAGAGTGTGTGATATCTGTCTTCATGTGTCAGTTTGTTTGACGCTCCAGGGCTTTGCTTTCTATCGATTGCGAGGACAACTTGTTCATCATACCAGCAACTTCTTCGAGTTCAAGCAGCGATGTTGGTGAGAACAGTCCTTAAGTAACGGATAATCCACATTGGCGTGGCGCACCTACGTATTGGTACTGTAACATTGCTTGCAAGAATTTTGCTTCATACTCCACAAAGTAACGGTCCTGGTATAATTGTTTCAAGCACATGTTCTGGACCTTTTCGTGCCTAAATTCTGTACCTAACGTTACCACCAGTATGTGGTGGACCCCAACGGCTGCGCGCCTGCCACGTCAGTCCTCTTACTGAAATGGTAGGTTGCTCCAAATTTGAATATATATGCCTCGTTGATCATATCATTACTATTGCGCTTTCAAGCTATATTTGGTATTTTCGGTAGATTAGACGAACGACGTCAAATCCAGCTGAAATCGGCGAGACGTCATTTTACTTGAACTAACGTTAACAGTAAATATACTCACTGTCTGTCCGATGCAATGTTGAACTCTGTGAAATGGAGAAGCTTGGCAATGCACTGAATACACCCACCTGCAATTTGATTGGTCGTAAGGTCGTTTTTGGAAAATTTCATTCGCTAACTTTGGTCCGTCGATTACTACGTCGATTTTGCTTCGTCGATTCGATTGGCAGCCCCAGTCCATTTTGAAATCGAATTAATTACCACTATTCATGAATAATACTATTAATAGTAGTATTGTGCTTTCGAGTGAATTTTCGTGTTGTGGCGTGGTTTCTTGTTGGAATTTAAATCGATTTGATTGGCTACTTCAGATGAGCTCAAAATTGTTAGCCAATCAAAACCTTCTAAATGAAATTCAACCAATCAGATCGATTGTGGATCAGTTTGGTCGGTGCGATTCGATCCCCAAATTTGTATCAAATCGACAATAGTACAATTCGTAAAATTCCATTTGAAGGCAGTGACCAACCAGATGGTCACCACTGGCCAAATTCTGGCTACAGTACCGTACTACTTACTGTACACTGTAGTGTGGTTGTACTGCCACGAGAGACAACGGAGCGTCCGTCCTCGTGATGTTCGGGCTCATGGCGCTGTGGAATGCGGCGATCACAGTCGTGCTCTTTTCAGACCGCGACGGGCACCATCCGTCTCATAAGGATGCCTTTGAAGCTCCATCTTCGTTTGTCCCCGCCGCCACCCCGTCGTCGGCCGACCCGAGCACAAGGGCGCCCTCAGCTCCCACATCGACGACCAAAACCAACGCCATTGGAGCCTATAAAGTGGACCTTCCCATCGGACCCGCGCCCACTGCTCCATTAACCAAACCATTCCCGACGGCTGCGTCCTGAGGTAGCACTCGCAAGGCCAAGCCTGGCGACACCGTGTACATTACAATCGACGACGGTCCGTCCATCGGTGGTCGAGCAAATCTGCTGATGGCCATGAACCAACTCAACACGCGTGAGGGTCACGTGCCGCCTGTGTACTTGACGTTTTTCGAGAGCGGGTACAACTTTTGCGGTGACGCCACGTCCAGCATCACGTCGATGCAATGTGTCCCGACCGCATTCGACAATGCTACCGAGCGGTTGGCGTGGACGGTCAAGGCCGGCCACACGATCGGCGCGCACTCGGACACGCACAACTGCAACTACGTCAAGACGAATCCACTCACGGTGATCGAAGACGGCATGGAGGCGTGTGGCAACGCCATCACGTCCGACTTTGTGCGCGGCGCCAAGCACGTCGAAGCGGGACTCCAAAGTGCCAACGCGTACTCGACCGACGCCGACAAGGCGTTGCTGGACAAGGCCATCCACGATCTATGGAGCTACGTGCGGCTGCCGTGCTCGAACGCGTGGAAGTTGCCGGGGGGCTTTTCGGCCTCGTCGGGGTTTCGTGTCGTCGACTCGCAGGCCGAGCGCTCTGCGCGCCTTGGCGCCGCCGACGCCATGTTTGCAGGCACGTTGCCATGTCGGAATCCGTTGTACCAGGGCAAGCCGTGGAGTTCGTTTGGATGGGACGCCGAGTGGAAGCTTGGTCGAGGCGGGGTATTGTTGGACGCAAATCGGGAAAAGTGCAACGTCGTCAACAACATTGCCAACGCGTTTGACCTAAAGGCAAACCGCGGGCTTAACAAAAATGCTGTCGTGCTGCTGACCCACGACTACTTTTTTGACACGTTGGACAAGGCCATGGTGATGCGGGATGTGATTGCCGAGCTGCAGCTGGTCGGGTATGCGTTTAGCACGATCGACAAATACAAGTAATATTGGTCGTCTGTGGAAAATAGTCTGTGATGTTGTCTTGAAGGTTGGTATCAATACTATTATAGTAACGTGATGAAACTGCGATGCGTTGTGATGCGTCTACTACTGGTAGCACGTTGTTACACAATTCGCATTCAAGAAAACAAATGTTACCAGCCAAGGGTGTTGTGTCCAGAATCTGCTCGGTCCGACTGCGTTGACAACACCTGAAAACGCATCAAACTGGGGTTGCCGCCGCCATCATTACAACTGAAAACAACTGAAATGTCGCCACGGGATGTGCAATGGGTGGGTCGAGCAACGTTGATCGGGCATTCAACGGTACGGACGCTGCAAACACACACGACTATGGAGGCCAGAGTCAATGCTGAAACATCATGTGGATCGAACAGCGTCGACAAACATGCCTTGGTTTTTTCCGAAGGCTTGGCCACATAGTCCAACGCCACTTGGTCATCGCATCGTTTCACCTGCATGTATAACATGTGTAAATACACGATAGATGAAGGTGGAATAAGTATTGTATGAAATACAACCCACCACGACAAGCAACTTTTCAGCCAAAATGGCAGCCGAGAGGGTTTTACCACGAATCGACGCTTGCAATTCCGCCTTGGCCTCCAAAAATTCCCTTTGGCTCTGAGTCAAAGTTGCCGCGGTAGTCGAAGTGGAGGGACTGGGGTGGCTGTTCATGCGCTCGAGCACACCAAACAGCGCCCGAGTCACGTCGGGAATGTACTGCATAGTCACGCGTTCGTTAAGAGAAAAGGCTTTAAAAAAAGCTAGTCGACAACCCACCCGTCGCAGTTTTTGCTTGCGTTCTTGCTTGTCGTGCTTGAGATGGCGTTGGACCAACTTGACGCGCAGTTGGCTGCAACATTGCCGCAAACATTGCTTCACTGCATCCTTGATCGCCTACAGTGCAACCAATGGCGATGATTCTCATCTAAAGTCGTGCGTATCCAAACATGAACGGACCGGAATGTCGTCGCCAATGTACTCTTTCCCAGTGCCTTTGAACGGAATTTTCGTGCTCACGATAGACACAAACACGCCAATCTTGTCGCGTTTTGGATCCATCTTGTAATATGTCCAGCTACGTCGTTGGTCACGCTATTTTAGCCACAGGATAATGGGTTTTATACTTGATATCCTTGTTCGCCGTGCGAGTCACCACGTCCCCGCCAGCTTCAAACAGCAATGGAATGCGATTCTAGGGTTTTGTCAGCTACTAGACAAACATGGGGTACTTACGGCAAACCGATAGATCGATATGCCTTCTTTCATCGGGGCCCCGCCCACCTACCGCATGAATCATGCCTGAATCATCACTTTGTTTTGCCAATTCGTACCGACACGGCAGCTTCCACAATCAACGCATGGCCTTCAAACTCGGACGTTTTGTACGTGTGGGTTGCCACCATGTCTGGCTCCAGTTCCTTTAAAATACCTACAGCCAATTTCATGACATCGCCAACGAAGCAATCATGTAAACATACCCAAACGTAGATTGTATTCCCCCGCAGGACTGAGCCAATGGCCATCTGGTACGTTGAAGTGCATTTCCTTGAGCAACCGCACCTGGACACATGTGTAAAAGTGAGATTGCATCTCCTCTATAAACGTCATCCCCACCACTTGGTGAATATGATTCGATGTCAGCGTATGAATGTCCATGTCAAGGGTAAACGGTGTGTCCAGTTCGTTCACAATCCGAGTCGCCAAATTGGCATCCACTGCGGCCAGGTCATGGCATAAAAACCCATGCAATGTTCGCTGCTTTGAGTGTTCCATCTACATAATACAAGGGAAACGTGGGAATAGATCGGGCAACAAAAAATCTGGTGCACCGTGGATATGAGACGCTGCCACAAGTGAGAATGATAGGGAGGTAGTTATTTGATTGTGTACCAGTTGTGCCAAGAGCAAGTCGTTGAGCGCGAGCGGATGGTGCTGTACTTGCTGGGCCGTGGGGGGCATTTGGTCCGACCGGCGATCGTAGCGCATCGTGAATTCCTTGTGTTTGCCTTTGATGAAACTCAACTCCAATTGCGCATATCTACAGCAGCACCGACAAGTCCTTGGTCAAATATTGTACATCAACTACAAACGACGTACGGGGTAATGATCGCGAGCTGCTGAAAGTAGTGCACAATGCGAGAGCGATAGGTGGTCCAGTTGCCGCCCACGGTGACCGTCAATTCCGTGCCCGTCATCTCCTCGATATTTCTCGACTTGTAGTGCTCGAGGACGTTTGGCTCGTTCTAATCGACAGTAGTCACGGATTACAGGTCTGGTTGGAATATCTGATATCAAACCTTGAAGATGTCAATGTCAAGTTTACAGAACGACACGTGCTTGGGCATGGTGTTCGCCTTGGACATGTGGGCCGACCGCACCGTGATCGGCATCCCAGTGCTTTTCTTGGACCAAATTAACGCCTACAATGTCAGCCATGAGTTGACAAAGTGGATCACACGCACGTTCGTGCCATTTTCGCGCCCAAGCCAAACTTGCCCCGCGTCTGCCGAACACCGTATTTACTTCCGGCCAGCACTACAATAATCATTACGACGTCCAGCAAAGTTATCTTGAGCATATACCTCGTCCTAGCATGTTTGGGATTTGCGCGTGCGCCATGCCACACCCATTGTCCTACACGACACTTCACCTTAACAAAATAGTGACAGAAGCCTTCTTCACTGGGATATACGAACCTTGACCTCGATCTTGTAGTACATAATCGCATTGCGGTTAACTGGTGCGGCGTTTTGCTTCGGCGACGGGGCAGCAACTGTTGCTGTTGATGGCGTCGTGGGTGAAGTGCCAGCCGATTTGACTGTTTTTCTTGGTTTCAATGGGGCGTCTTCGTCGTACTTGAGTTTCTTTTTTGGTTTCAATGGGGCGTCGTCGTCGTACTCGTCAGATTCGGCTTGTTTCATCTCGTTCACGACAGCGGAGGGGGGCTGCTTTCGCTTTTTCTACACGAGGCTGGTTGGCGGAGAACGAATGCATCATGGAATGGATGGTACCTCTTTGGGATCACTGTACAGGTCTTTGTCAAACCGAGTTGTGACTTGAATATCTCGTGACGTATTAAACGCTGCTTCGTCCATTTCGGTACTATCCATGAATGTCAGACAAGCAGAACATTCGAAATCATGTACATGGTCACGTCAATTTGCGGCAAGACACCGATGGACTCAGCGGCATCGAGGGAATTCTCCACGAGTTCACGGATCGTCGTATATAGGCATTTCCCCGGCTACGAGGACAAGATCAGCATGCGTGTTCACCTTCACTGAACATCACGATGATATGATCATGTCCTTACATTGTCGAAGCCGGCAATGTTTTGATTCTCCGCGAAGAACTCTGCCGGCGATCGGATCTGCAGCACCTCGCCCCGCGCATTCACCTTGACGCTTTGGGTTGACATGGTACGTATCTTCCAGTTCGAAATTTGAAGAGTGAAGGAACGATTGCGCGCGCAACTGGCGTATCCGGATGAAATTTCAAAAATCCCGTTGGAATGGAATGTTGTTCATCGCCACACGTTAGCAGGATCGAACGGGGCCGACCTACGATACATAGGCGAGCCGCGCATGTTCGTATACCGTGTCCCGACCGGACGAAAGAGCGTGCTGTGGTCGTTCACTATGGTGCCTTCCCTGGAAGCATTATCGAAAGGACATCGTATGCTGGTTGAAGCGACAACAGAGTGCCCCAGAATATATTGCGACCATCATTCGCATGTCTTTTATTTACCCAGTTTTAATGGATTGAATACAGTCTGCAAGTTCAGTCTTGAATGGACTCAGTTCTTTTTTGTTCTTTTTCACTGCCAGGGTGAATCACTTGGACAAAAGATCATGACGGGTAGCAGAGGCGGCAGTCCGACGAATGCCCAGCACCCATCTCCATCAGAATCCCTGGAAACGTCGACACAGTCACCCCACAGCACCCCCACGTCCACATACCCTCCAAGCACGTCGTTCTATGTGGCAAAGAAGCGTCGACCGGTAGACTCCATGGACTCCGCGCCTCATTTTCCCCACCCTGTCAATCATCTCACTAATCCCTCAGACAACTCGACTCCTGCGATAACGCATGCGGTGCCAAGAAAAGGAAGGCCGCTGCACTCCATTTGGAGTGTATTCACACAAAAGGTGAACGCCCATTTAGCATCGGAAGGCCCTCGCGCGCAATGCTTGCATTGCCACGCCGAGGTCCTGCACCACAACAAGACAGCATGTGTGGAGCGGCACTTGCGGCGTTGTGCGCCATTCCTGTCCCACATGCATTCTCTCACAGAACGAGATCAGCCCGACTGGTTCAAGTCGGTCCGGACGAAGAAGCGTCACAACAATAATGCAAGCCTTGTATTTTCGATCAAGAACACGTCGAATTCCGCTCTGGGCGGCATGACAGCCATGGCTGCCGCGCCTCATGTTCACCCACTCTCTTCTGCCTCGTCGCCCGCTGTCTACCCCACGCTCATGCATGCTGCCGCGACGGCGCCAACGATCAAACTCAACGTAGGCGGGACCTACTTTGAGACCACCAAGGCCACGCTCCTCCAGCACGAGCTCTCGTTCTTCCACGACCTGCTACTCACGACCCCAACTCGTCAAGATGGTAAGGACGATCGATCTTCCATGTTCGTATATCACATGTCTGTCGTAGGCGCCTACTTTCTCGACTTGGACCCAAAGGCATTTACCCACGTGATGGACTTCCTGCGGTACGGCGAGCTGTGTGTGGAAGGTCTGAATTCGTGGGAGCGGCGCAAACTCGCCAAGACCATGGGGTTCCTCAAACTCCACACGATTGCTCAACATGCTTGGAATCCATTTGCCGAGAGTGCGTTGGCCGCGGCGGGAAATTCGTTGCCGGCGGAATGAGTTCACGATGTAGCTAGGAAACCTTGCTTCACAATTTTGCACTCGACAATGTGTTCACGTTCAAACGATAACAATATGTACCTCATGCGGCAGCTTCTTTTGGTCACTTGTCCGCATGTTGATGGGTCGTCGAACTCTTCCGACTTTCTCAAGTCAGTTCTCAAGTTCGCAGTCCCACCCTGGGAGGTATCCACGGTTGTTCTCGGTCGCTCCCGGACTCGCCGTGCTCATCCATGGAACATCTACAAGATGCTCCATGGACGCCGCCTCCAAGCCTCCAAGGAACCAACTGGCCACTCACTGCCTCCCCGTCATCATCGTCGGTGTGTAACAAAGGTGGTGCTCTGGAGCTCCAGGTGCAATTTTTCTCCCTTCGTTGTGAGCCCGTTACATGATTCCGAAAATAAATTCCACCTGCGAGATACAAGACGCAAGTCTAATTTTGGATTCGTTCTAAAATTAAATAAAACGCACCCACCCGTAGCTACGTTCGGAGTGGCGAAAACGACTAGAGTGTGCCGCATCATCATCACCTTCTTCGATGCATCTCCGGGTGAGACCTCCCCTGCCGACGCTATGGCATGCGCTGGCCCTGTACATCTGCATGTTGAGCCTCTTCAGCTCCTCGACGCACATGGGTGTGTCCGCGACCCAAGTCGTCCAATACACGTTTGACAAGGCGCGCGCTGGCGGCGTCGTCGGCAGCATCCACGTCACGTACGACTCCCCACACAAACCCACGGTGTCGATCACGACCGATATCGACATGAGCGCACTCAACATGACCCAAGTCCTCGCGCTGCATCCCGCCTGCGAACCACACATCCAGGAATTCAAATGGTACCTTGTCGTCAATGACGTCGGCGTCGTCCCGCTCGTGGGGTTCCTCGACATGTGTAATCTCATGGAAAAACGACCGTTTCTAGACGAGGTGTGTCCATCATCAATCCCATCTACCTCCCACTTCTATGGTCTCACGTCGTCGTGGAGCAGGATCTGGAATCGGTCGACGGCGTCGCCACCGACAACCCCTCGACGTGCAACGACACTGACCCGGTGCTAGCACCATCCCCGTCCTCCTCGTCATCACCCCCTTCCCCACCCCGGACTCTCCACCTCTCGGAACATCTCGGCCGCCTCGTCGTCCAACACGACGGGCGCATCTCCCAGTCATGGCAAGACGTTCCGTTCCCATCTTACGACCAAGTCACTCCTCGATGGAGCATCGTGTTGCATGCCGTGTGCGGGGACACGAGTCCGCCCGTCGTGTGCGCCCGCGTGGACTTTGAGCTCAAGGCCACCAATAGCCACGTCCAAAGCAAGGAAGCGCACGGCATCGTCGGCGTCGCCGCGTTTGTACTGGCGTCGAGTCTGCTTCTCTTTTTAACTTAACGTTCTGTACAATACGTGATCCCATGCATGGCGTTCGTCGTGCCCACGTGTAGCCGCGGCATGTCTCCATGCGCATCTTGCCACCTATGTCCATCGTCGGTCGGCGCGCGCCATTGCATGGCCAGCACTGGCGAAGGTAGCGCCACTGTACACGTTGGCAACATTCTTCGACTTGCATCACGCAGCGACCATAGCGCCACGTCACTAGTTGTCGTGGTGCTGGTTGCCACTGCCACAATATCGTCGGGCTCCGACTAACAAGTCGATATATGTATTACGCATGTCCAGTTGGCCTCCACCAAAACTCGATCATCGTACGGAGTATGTATGGTACATACCACGGCAAAGGTCACGGCGAGGCCGTGGCGGTGGCGGCTTTCTCCAGAGTACGTCGATGCGATGGGGGTGTCCAGTCGGCGGAGGTCCCATCGGCTGACTGTGCCGCATGAGGTGGCTGCGACGACGGTCGCCTTGTCGGATAGCACTTGGAGGGCGCGGACCGAGGCGGGAGTCGACACGATGGAGTGGGCCAAGGCAGTCGTGTTGGCTCGCAAGTCCCTACCAACATTCTGGATCAACGGTCGTTCGTTCGTTCGTTGTGTTTGAAAGTCAATTCGAAATCGGCAGACAATCGATTGACCAATCAAAACCCAGAATACGAATCAAGTGGCCAATCAAATCGACTATTCGACGAATGCATCATCAAATTACTGTGTGTGACTGAAATTAGTGTGACCATGACGATCTTTCCATACAAAATGCAGTACACAGAATCGATCGATTTGGCGAGTAGTAAAATGTTCACATGTTTTGGGGAAAAAGGACAATAATACCACAGCCACAGGTCGCCGCTGCGGGTGCCGTTCAACACGGACGTAGCCTCAGGATACGATTGCGCAAACACATCCGACGACCAAGTCGTCGGGGCATGCTGCACCGACTCGTGCGCGACATCGACGACGTGGGCGCGGCTTGGATGGGCTCCATGTTGCTGCTGGAGAGTTGCGCCTACCGCTATGTGGCGGCCTTCGGGGTGCCTACAGACAGACCCCTCAAACAGCATACACATATCAATGGGGTACATATTTGTGTAAGACTACAGGTCCTATATATTGATTATCAAGTCGATTCAAAATTGGAGAGGGGTGCTGAATCGAATGAGCTGCACCAAATCGGCAGACAATTGATCGACCAATCAAAACCCAGATGACTAATCAAGTAGCCAATCAAATAATCCACTCTTCGACCAGCTAAACCTTGAATTAGTGTTTGACTTAAATTAGTGTGAGACTGGACGAAGTTTACATATAAAAGTCACTAACTTATTGTCGATTTGATACAAATTTGGGGAGGGGGTGCAATCGAATCGCGCCGACCAAACCGATCTGATTGGTTGAATTTCATTTAGAAGGTTTTGATTGGCTAATAATTTTGAACTCATCTGAGGTAGCCAATCAAATCGATTCAAATTCCAACGAGAAACTACGCCACAACACGAAATTTCACTCGAAAGCACAATATACAAAGAATCGAACGATAGATTTGCATAAAAGACCATATTTTGGGTAAAACGACAATATGTAAGTTCGGTGGTACCTACCACACGTGATGCCACGCATCGATGGCTTTCAGATTCTACAAGTCTTGTTAAGTGGAACGACCGTGAGGGGGACGTACGTACGTAGACAAGGGACAGTGTCGACGGGTTGAGAAGGCGAAAGTAGCCGGGTGTGTCGGCATCGCCGAGGCCGGTCAAGGAAATGAATCCAGCTTTCGTAGGTTGAAAGCGCATGCATCCAACCTGCACACGTCCATGGATGTATGCATGATGACTGTGTGAGAGGAGGGTGAATCTGTACGTACGTTTCTAAAGAACGGACAAGATCGCATGGCAATATCAAAGGCGCTGCGATGGCGGTGGGGGTCGTAGTGTTGTCGAGGATGCAACGTGAAAACGAGTCCGGACGCTCCTTGAATGAACCCTGAATAACAAAGACGAGGTCGACGAATCAAACACGTACGGACTGCCGCCGCAACTGTATTCCCTTGGGTTGACATGGCCATGCACGTGAGAGGAACATGGAAGGGAAGACCAACTTCGGTTGTGCGAGGCACCTACGTAGCATCGTGACGTGGGATCGAGGTGACGAGCACACGTACACGTTGAAGCAAGTGGAGGAGATCGGCATGTCCTTGACCGTGACGTCCGTGGAGTTCACGACGACAAAGATGTTGGATGGACGACACAACTTTATGCTTCACGATGGGATCCTCATATGGAGCTGGCGGTGACGACGATGGCGGTGGGTTGCCAGGGAAGTACTTGTTGGTCGCAGCGTCGTAGTAGAATCCTGGGATGACCTTTGGTTGTGCCGTGGCTACGGGGGCTGGCGCCGCAGCTGATTGTGCCTCTTTAGATCGTTGAGCTTCCAGGGCCGCAAGAAAGTCGGAGCTTGGTTCAGCGGCATGCGGTCTGTGCCGCTTCGCCTTGCGAGGGTGCTCCTTCCGTGGCATTCGTCTGTAATTGATTTCTTCCAATCCAATTGCCGAAATTAAAATGCACCAATCAAAACGTATGATGCAAATCATGGAACCAATCAAAAACGTGTATTTCAATTGCACCTTCGAATCCATCAAGTTGATCAACATGCTTTCCCGCCGCGCCGCCGTTGCGGCGGCAGCCATACTCCACCGCCGCGGAATTCTATCCAGGCACATCACATCTGCGAAGAAGAAGGTGGTCGTTGGTATGTCGGGTGGCGTGGACTCATCAGTCGCTGCCTACCTTCTCCATCAAGACAAGTCGCTCGAGGTCCACGGGATGTACATGAACAACTGGGACACGTCCGACGAGGAAGGTCACGCAACGTGTCCAGCTGACATGGAGTACGAAGCTGTGCGCCAGGTGTGCAACGACATCGGCATCCCTTGCACCCGTGTCGACTTTGTCCAAGAGTACTGGAACAACGTGTTCGCGCCGTGCCTAGACGAGTACGCACAGGTACAGTACAGTACACATCATGCAACACACTACCGCCTATTGCCAACTCCCCACAACACCACTCGATTTCTAGGGCTTCACACCCAACCCCGACGTCCTTTGCAATCGCGAGATCAAATTCGACGCTTTCGCTCGACATGCCAAGCATTTAGTTGGCGCCGACGCCATCGCCACCGGCCATTATGCGCAATTGCTTCCCATGCACGACAGCGCCGCCAGTTCAACCGACTCTGACGCCTTAAGGCTGTTTGCTGCCGTGGACACCAACAAAGATCAAACGTACTTTCTGTCGCATGTGTCTGCCGCCGCCTTTCAACAGGCAAGTACTACACATGTTCTTCCTCATCCTATGTATGCATCGTACTATGGCGTCCATGTGCAGGTTCTGTTTCCATTGGGCAAGTTCACCAAGCCCCAAGTGCGGGAGATTGCCCTCCACGCCAACTTGAGCACTGCGTTGGCGAAGGAGAGCATGGGCATCTGTTTCATTGGAAAGCGACCGTTTGGGTCGTTCCTGGCGCAGTACGTGCCCCCTCGCCAAGGCCACTTTGTGTCGGTATGTTGGCTAGTACTACTAGTAGTAGCACTACTACAACCTAAACATATTTGTATGGCAAGGTCGAAACGAACGCGACGATGCACGCCCACGACGGGTTTAGCGCGTACACGATCGGCCAAGGAGCCAAAGTACCCGGGCAGGCCGCCAAATGGTTCGTCGTGGGCAAACGCGACCAAGATGCGGCGGTGCTCGTCGCCCCGGGCACCCACCACCCGGCCCTCTTTGCCGATCATACGTACGTGCACACCCAAGCGTTCAACTGGCTCGCGCCGCCGCCATTCTCGCAGGTAATAATGTCTTTCTTTTACCCCACATTTGGACTACTTTTGTGCTGATTCTTTGCCAAATCTATCGATCGATCCTTTGTACTCAATGTTGTAAGTAAAGATCGTCCACTATCACACTAATTTCAGTCACACACGCTAATTTGATGATGAAGTGGTCGAATAGTCGATTTGATTGGCCACTTGATTAGTAGTATTCTGGGTTTTGATTGGTCGATCGATTGCCTGTCGATTTGGTATTCGATTGTTGATTGTATTTATGATATTTAGGTTTTCAATGAGCACCACTTCAATTTCGAATCGACTTGACAATGCATGTCTACATATGTTGAGATATATCCACATGCTGATTCCTTTTGGGATGATACCTGGTACATATTCTCTCTGTGTGTTCACTTGTTTGCAAAGGACCAAATTCATGATCTTGTATCAGGGTTTGATTCAATCCTCCGTTCGAGATGACGGCAAACCAGCGACCCCACCCCCTTCACATACCTCTGCAACGACCTCATTTCGATGCTTGTATCGAGCGAGGTACCGCCAGCCTCTGGCCGGCTGCACTGTCACGATCGTGCACGATCTCGACGCCACTGGCCTCCACCCAGCGCGCCACAATCATCAGCAGCTGTCGACTGACACGTACCTCAAAGTGGACTTCGACGTGCCTCAGCGGGGCCTCGCACCGGGCCAATCCGTCGTGCTGTATCGACAGGACGGGCTTTGTTTCGGCGGAGGCGCCATCTACTGCGCGGGTCCGTCCTACTGGGAAATGCGCAAACCGTTGCCGTCCCCCCTGCACGACTGGCACGTCTAAGCTCAAAGTGCAATGTGGACAATCTCAGCTTTTGATGCTGCACGAAACGTTAGCGAGAATAACCAACCTGTCGTCACATGCGTGAACTGTCATGTTGGAAATAACGTCATCACTATAACTGAACAACGTCGCTTGGAGATGCGGCGCCAACGACCAAACAAGTTCACGAACGATTACATATCTTCTAGTACATACGTTTAGTAAGTACTAGTAGTACTAGTATTGTCTTTCTTTTACCCAAAATTTGGACTTTTGATTCGCCAAATCGATCGATCGATGCTTTGCACTGACTTGAACGTAAAGATTATTATTTTCTGGTGCCACACTAATTTCAGGCATACATTAATTCGATGGTGAATTGGTCCAAAGTGGATTTGATTGGCTACTTGGTAAGTGTTCTGGGTTTTGATTGGTCGTATATCGATTGTCTGTCGATTTGGTGCTGCGTCATTCGATTGAGCACCGCACTTCAATTTCGAATCAACTCGGCAATACTGGACGTGCGTACTACACCTTTTTGCAGTTAAGTTGGACGAATGCCCGATATATTTGGCCTTGTGCCCGATATATTTGACAATGTGCCCGATATAATTAGCCGTGTGCCCAAGGAATTGGCCATCTGCCCGATGAATTGTGTCGTGTGCCCGATGAAAATGGAAATCACGCAATAAAAAGTCAATTAATATAGAAATGGTCGTTAAACGACACATGCAGCATTCAAAGCGTTGGAGAAAAGCAGTGCCCGCATTATGAACTTAAACTATACTTTATTCAAGTATAAATTTCGAATTCTTGCCTTCGCGCGTTTTCCTCCGAACTTCAACCACATGATGTTTCCACCAAAACTGATTTGCACTCCATGGAACATACTAATTATTCGAGTTATTCCATTTTCATCGGGCACACGACACAATTCATCGGGTAGATGGCGAATTAATTAATTACTTGGGTACACGGCTAATTAAATCGGGCGCATGGCTAATTAAATCGGGCACATGACACAATTCATCGGGCAGATGGCCAATTACTTGGGCACACGGCTAATTATACTGTATTGGGCACACCGCCAAATATATCGGGCACATGGCCAATTATATCGGGCATTCGTCCAACTTAACTGCAAAATGGTGTAGTAGTAATCCTGCCTTCCGTTATATTTGTCGTACCTTTGCACCAAGTGTAATTCAATTTGAACATTGAACTACTAACTAGTACATAGTAGAACCAACTGTACGCATAATGTATGTAGATTATGAACGTTATTAGATTGAATTAGTATATCGTCATGTATTAATATTATATGTTTACTCCGGATAATCGTAGATTTGGACAAACCTGCACACACCGAAGGATGTTGTATTCATACCATACATTCAAGTGCATCCACACCCCAGCGTGTGTCAATTGACCACCGCTGGGAAAAACCCACTGGTGACGAGGCTGTCGGACGGCATGCGCTGGCTCGGGTCGCGGTGCAAACACGCTTGAATCACACGCTGCCACGTCACATGTCAACACTTCAACATGTCAACAAGTACTCGTACTTGGACAATGGGGGGGACGACAGGAGTAGCTGGAAACACGACCGTGCCGTCGTACTTGCGCAGATGCTCCACGAACGGCAGCTTCATCGCGTCGTCCAGCACCACCAGCCCCGGCGCCAGCGGATGGTGCCCGTACAGCATGACAAAGTAGAGCACGCCGAGGGCCCAGACGTCGGTGGCGTCGCATGTGACTGTGTTACCCAGCGCCTCGAGGCAGTTGAACGTCTCGGGCGCGGCGTACAGCACGCTCGACGCATCCATCTCCTTCACTTTGTGATGGGGAATCGTCGGCAGGAGTTCCCGCCGGCTGCGCGACGACTTGAAGTTGGTCACGGCGACATTCCACGGCCGCGTGACGAGGATGTTGGACGGACGGAGGTCGCAGTGCGCCACGCGGGCCTTAAATATATATATACGTATTCGAAACATAAATACATATATATATATATATTGTTGTGTTTATTCAAAACTGGAGCCACGGGCCGAATGTATCGACACGCAATGTGCAAAAGAATCGGCAGAAGAGCATTTAGCCAATCAGAATTTGCAGGAAATCATCGGTTTAACGAATAAACAACTAATTCGTGTGTGTGTGACTTAAATTAGTGTGATGGGTATCACCACCAAACTCGTGTTTACATTCGGTAGACCAAAATTCAGTACAAAAAAAACATCGATCCATGTATATGGCAAATCAGCATAAAAGTCCAAATTTAGCGAAGACAGTTAGTTCCACGTACATCAATGCACAAGTGTTGGATGCATTTCGCGACTTGGAAGGCCACCGCGTGGGCGACGACGGGGGGGAGGCGGCCGTCGCGCCGGCGCTACACCAAGTACCAACAATGTTTAGCAACACGTGTTCCTAAAGTGGATTAAAGAACGTAAACGAATACAAACGTTCAAATTGGCATAAAAAGACATTCAATATTGCATTAAAGACTATTGTGGATTCGATATGAATTTCCAGACCCCGTCGAATCACGAATCGACGCTATTGGCTAATCCATTTTTTTTACTGGCTTTGATTGGCTCTTGCAGAAAGGAAAAGTATTTCAACCAATCAGAACTCCAGTGCGATTCAATATTGATTAGACAAACCACGCGAATGTTGCAAGTTTATAGCGAATTCACAATATATACAGTAGAAGAACATCTCAATAACGACATAAATGAACAAAACACCGTGACAAGTCGTGCATATAATCCAGGTGTATTGTGTGTTCTACTCAAAATATATTTCCTCTGGCGGTGGCATGAATCAACCGCCGAACAATCGCCGAAAAACCTTTGCAATTTCATATTAAACCAAGTTGAAGAGGTATCTTTGGGACGACTGCAATCCTACAATCAATCTTTTTAGCCAATCATATTGCAACCTGAATTCTTTGTAGCCAATCATACTCCTCCATTGCTTCATTAGTTCAAATATTTGACTGAAAGCAACTTCAACGCGAAGGTAAACGACACATTTATGTAGTACGAACGTGGAGGATGGACTGGAGGTCGTCTTGCATGAACTGCAGCGCGTACATGGAATACCGCTGGCCTTGGAACGTGTCATGGAGGAGTCCATCGCGTGACATGCCGACTACCGCGTCGTGGACGTCGATTTTCTACAAAGTCGGCATGACATCCAAAGGGAAGGGGCTATATCATGACGAGGTGACTGTACCGCCAACGCTTTGTAGTCGTATGTGATCATGTGTGTGTCCGCCGACACTTTGAGCGTCACGTCCTTCGTCAGATGCAAGTCCATGGCCTTCCACACCTCGATTCCCGACGAGCTCACTCCAAGAAGCTCGATCAATGTGAATCGACGGCATAATGTTGGCAACGACGCAAATGGAGAATCTACCAAGGAAATAACCATGGCATGGCATTCGATGGCACCGTCATCATCGGAGAAGCTACGTACCCATTTGGAGCTTGAATCGGTGGGCGTGATGGTTGTGCATAACTGCGTCACGAACGTATTGCTACATGTTCATGTCCAATATGCGATGAGGATTGCCACATTGCGTGACGAATGCGTTCGTCGACGTACATCATACGTATCGTCGTCTTTTCGCGCTTCCTCCATGCGAAGTCGGAGATATTCTGGAATTCCATCAGACGTGGTGTTGGTCTAACAAGATAGTTTATCATGTGTTGGGTCTGCGCTTCTGCCGCATCGTCATTCATTGCATGCTCGCCACTGACTTACCACGGCAATGGACTGCCGAATGAACGGCTGCTCGACCTGCATGCGGATGTAGTCAATGTCGCGGCGCAACCTACGACCGCATGGCTTCATGACGACATCACTGTCTAACACCCTCATGGAAGCACCTGACCTTTCTAGAAGTGCAGCCTGCGCTGCCTCGAGTTCCTGCTGTCGCGCTTCGGGGGGCAATGCAACCATGTTGCTTGAGAAAATCGAATGACCAAATCTTGAGTTTGAAAGCGCGTTTGTGATTGGTCGAGGCAATCCTAGGTTGAGAAAATCGCCATTTCAACGAAAAACATCATGGGCCAAGGCGCGTCATTGATGCGCGTGATCGTGAACGACGTGCGGGAGATCGTCGCGTCCACCAACAAGGAAGCGTACATGAAGGAGTACCGTGCTTACAAGGAAGCGTCCGGTCGCCTGGAGGCGGCACGACTGAAGAACGCCGCGCTGCAACAGCACCTCGAAATGACCAAGGCCAACGTGTACATGCAGGCCGACCTCCTTCGGCAACAGAAAGAAAAACTCGACTTCCAGGTACATGTACTCCGACAAGCATTGACGAAAAGTGCATCAACGCGATGGGTTAGATTGAGGAGTATGCCAATATGCACGCGATCGACAGCGAGTTCTTTGACAAGCACAAGCGCGTGGCTGAGCACATGAAGCAACATGCGGCCAATGTCACCCACAACACATCGCTGGCATCGTCCAGCGACGAAGCAAGCGACGAACCACCGACCAAGAAGGCCGCCGAAGACCCGTCTTCCTCTACGAGTACTTCGACACACTAACCTCACTTAACGAGGTTATCTATCTTGAGATATGACATGTGGGCGTGCTGCTCCACGTTGTCAATACCCAATGTCAATCGATCTAGACTTCCCAGTCAATATACCCCAGTCGTTCGTTCGTCCCCACTTTACCCCTTTGTCACATTGCCATTGAAACCCAATATTAGACAGATTTCGCAAACGTCAGTAAGTCGATTCGACAATTGGAGAGTTTGTGTGCTCAATCGAATGACCAGAATCACCAAATCGACAGAGAATCGATATACGACCAATCAAAACCCACAACACTAATCAAGTAGCCAATCAAATGATCCACTCTTAAATCAACACCGAATTAGTGTGTGACTGAAATTCATGTGATACTGGATGATCTTAACATACAAATTTCAGTGCAAAGAATCGATCGATAGATTGATTTGGCCAATCAGTCCAAATTTTGGGCAAAAGGACAATAAAAGCTCGGAAGGATTATGCCGTCAGGTTTAAAATAGCCTGCGTTTCACTCGAATTCTAGTTGTTGTTGTACAGTGTCACACATTATATTACCAGTAACTATTCCTTTTTACGGCGCTTCTTCGATCGTTGGATCACTCCTACTACTAGTACAATGCCTTGTAATCCACGGATGCTGGACGATCTTGTCCAACGAGAGGCGGTCCCGCGGGTCCTTTTTCAAGATCTTGACGAGCAAATCCCTCGCCAACGCTGTCACATACGACGGGAACTGAAGGTCTACGCTCGTGATGCGCTGGTACGTCTCGGTCGTGCCCTCCGCTTCGAACGGCGGCGTTCCCACAAGGAACTCGTACATGAGGATGCCCAATGTCCACACATCCACCTAGTTAAATGCCAGGTATGTTTAATGTATATGTTGGTATTCTCATACCATTTCGTCATGTGGTTTGTTTTCCACCATTTCAGGCGGCAAGTAGTCCAGGGTACCACACAGAGTGTTGCGGCGGGACGTCGGGGAATGCACGGACCAGCCAAAATCGGCCAGCTTGAGCTCGCCCTACCATGAAGACATACATGAGCATACACATCCATATATATATATATTGGGATTTCGCTATAAACTTGCAAAATTCGCGCGATTTGACTAATCAATATGGAATCACGCTGGAGTGTGTGATTGGTTGAATATACTTGTCCTTTCTGTAAGAGCCAATCAAATCCACTCAAAATATTGGATATTAGCCAATAGCGTCGATTTGTGATTCGAATCGGACGATTTTTACTTCAAAAGGAATCGATCGATATATTTGGTGAATCGGCACAAAAATCCAAATTTTGGGTAAAACGACAATATATATATATATATACGTACGTGGAAGCCAATGAGAAGGTTCTCGGGCTTGATGTCTCTATGGATCACATGCTTGCTGTGCATGAACGACAACGTGAGCGCAATATCGCGGACGTAGCGCGCCGACCGGGATTCCGAGAAGCGCACCGCCTTCTGCAGCTTCTTGTACAGTTCGCCGTGGGCGGCAAACTCGATGATGAGGTAGATGCGCTTGTCATCGTAAAAGTACCCAAACAACCGGAGAATGTTCTTGTGCCGAAGATGCGACTGGATCTCGATCTCCCGCCGAAGCTGGTGCTCGACGTTCGCCTTGCTCAGCTGCGCCTTCTGCAGCACCTTGAGCGCGACGATGTACTGCGATTTCTTTTCACGCACCAAGTATACGCTGCCAAACTTGCCGCGACCGAGCCGCCGACCGATGTCAAAGTCGCTGAGCTTCCACTCGCGGGGGTTCATGGACGTGGTCGTCGTCGCCGCTGTTGTAGTCGACGAGTGTGGATGGTTCTCGGCGACGCTAGAGAGCGGAGCTTTGGAGCGCGCCGCAAACGTCGACTGGGATGTGATGGACGTAGTGGAAGAAGACGTCATTGTTCGGACAGACGACGACGTGGCTGAATGCAGCGACCGCGCCGACGAAGCCACAGTGGACGATGTATGGTACTTCTTGAAGATGGACGCGCTGAGCGAGTTGGATGTCGACATTGTCGACGTCGGACCAGCGCGCTCTAGCACGGAGACCGATGCGGCGGCATTGTTGTCGCGGCCCCAAACGCTTCGCATTTTTGGTTTCGCAGAGTCTGTTGCAGATGGCTTCATCGGCACCGCCGCCTTCTGCGATGGTGGCCTCACCATCCGGATGGCTATATCTTTTTATCGCATTTGAATTTTTGAACGATGGGAATGAACCAATAGAAGTGGCCCAATCCAATTTGTATCCGGATACCAAGGAGTTGGCACATTCTGGTCAAGGGTGAGCCACGGATGGCCGAGTCGTCGACACACACTTCCATGGCGCCACGAAGGACACCTGCTTCAATAAGCACCCCATCCAACAGGATGGCGGGTTCGATGCTGCCAGCATCCCCAAGCAGTGCGGACGTCAATACGTTCACCTCTTACATGAGCGGCTCCAGTCGGCTGGACATGTCGGTTGCTGGTCACATGGACTGCACCAGGCCCATGGATGCAGCAGGATTGCCAGCAAGATCTACATCACCTGGATCCAAGCGAATACTACTCCCAGAAGTGGTGGACGAGTCGACAGATCGCGTGTGGAAGCTCACGGATTTTGAGATTGGCCGACCACTGGGCCGAGGCAAGTTTGGCAATGTGTACTTGGCGCGAGAAAAGGAATCCAAGTACGTCGTGGCCCTCAAAGTGCTGCAGAAGAACCAGCTGCGCAAGGCCAACGTCGAGTACCAGCTCCGTCGGGAGATCGAAATCCAGTCGGACCTGAACCACCCCAACATTCTCCGGTTGTTTGGGTACTTTTACGACGACAAGCGCATCTACCTCATCATTGAGTACGCCCCGCAAGGAGAACTCTACCAGAAGCTCATGGACGTCGGTCGATTCAGCGAGCCCGTCGCCGCCACGTATGTGTACCAGATCGCCCAAGGTCTGCTCTACATGCATCAACGCCATGTCATTCACCGAGATCTCAAGCCAGAAAACTTGCTCTTGGGCTACAACGTACGTACGTACGCAATATATAGTAAATTCATGAATATTGCATGTTGCGTCATTATCACAATATTATCCGAGTACCTTTATTGACCAAGTTGCACTTAGGGCCAACTCAAACTGGCCGATTTCGGCTGGTCGGTGACGTCCCACAACGTCCGACGGCGTACTCTGTGTGGGACATTGGACTACTTGTCTCCTGAAATGGTGGACAACTTGGCTCACGACGAACGGGTACTATAACCACCAAATGTCATTTTGTTGTACGACCTCTGAAATCTTGTTACGTTTAGGTGG